GCCGTGTTTCAATACTTCAGACGGGATCTTGCCGGCACCGGCACACTTGCCGTTTCGCAGCTGAGCAAGTGCTCTCTGCGTCTCATCCATTGTCGGTATGTCCGCCAGACTCGCCTTCAAATCATGCTGCTTGAGGCCGTTCAAGGTAGGCCAGTCAATCTCTGAACGGTTGTTCGCCTGATCTGCATTATGTCTGCAGTCTGTGTGCAGGTAGCGCCTGAACTACCATCGATCAGCGTCTTCAGCGGCTCCAATCTCGGTCCATACACCGCTTTCAAGGAGTCAAAGAATTCCTTGTGTTGGCGGCGTTCGGCGTAGCATTCTATCTGCTTCGCCTGCTCAGTCCACCATGCATTTTTAATGCGACGGAGCTCTCGGGTCCGTCGCCGTCGGAGTTTGCGAAACTGACTCCTCATCCCCAAGTCACTGGTATCTGCCACATGTGCAGCAAATGCTGCATTCTTCTCACACACCTATGCGGCAATCGTCTTATTGTTCTCATCAAACCAATCAGGACGCTTACAGTTTGCGCGCCCGATGGTCTCCTCGGCAGCAGCTATCACCTGGTCGCGAATGTGGTGCCACAGTCGGCTACTTTAGCTATGCAGTCCACATTACACAGGCGTGCAGCCATCGCCTTCTTCAGCTCAATACCTTCCGCCACAGTCCCGAGGGAGAGAACATAAACTTTACGCCGATTCACGGTGGGAGTGCAATACATAGATTTTCGAAAACATATGTACACTTTGGTCCGCATCAATTTATGATCAGTGCCACACTCAGCTCCACGCAGTACACGTGTCATGCGCACTTCACGCATATCCCGCTGACGTACGATGACATAGTCGAGCAGATGAGCGTGACCGCTCTGTGTGTCCAAGTTGCCATATCACTCGCACTCAGTGCAAACCGAGTGTTCGTGATCGTCAGGCCGTGTGGCACACATTGAGAACAGCCTGTCACCGCTCGCATTCGCTGAACTAATGCCATGCGGACCGATAACATCTGTCCACACCGATGCATCATACCCAACGCGCGCGTTGAAATCACCCAGCAGAAATAGCCGGTCGCTCCTCAGCACAGACCGTATCACGGAGGATAACTGGGTGTAGAATTGATCACGTGTGTCGTCAGGATAACACGTGGTCGGACCGTACGGGCTTATAAAGGTGGCAAACTTACCTCTTCCGAGTCATCAGTCGCGCGCTGATGCCTGTTGGTTCACCCGTTAGCAGGCCATGGAAGCGATCGGATATTGCAAATCCGACCCCATGATCACGTGGTGCTGAGGTGAAGTTGCCCACCCAGCAGAATGTGTAGCCAGCACCCGCTTCATGCAACTTACCTTGCTCAGCGAGCCGAGTTTCACTGAGCGCCGCAATATCGATGATGTAGCGCGCCAGTTCCATCGCGACGAGTGCAGTGCGTCGCTCCGGGTGCTCGCTGGAGTTCCGGTCCAGTAGTGTGCGCACGTTCCAGCACCCGATGCTGAGTGCTTTGAGCGCAGGCATACAATTGCATTGGTGGGCAATCACACGCGAGGTTATCGTTGTGCTTCGGAGGTTTGCTTGAGGGACTCCACCCGGAGTCTTTGGCTCAATAGCCTGACCCACAAGGCAGTGGGTGGTTTGGAGGTTTGCTTGAGGGACTCTGCCCGGAGCCTTTGGGTCAATAGCATTACCCACCATGCATTGGGGAGCAGATCCAGCTCTGGAATGTGATTGCAGAGACAGATTGGAATCTGCTTGACGGCTGTCACATGCAGCCTTTGAGGTACTGGAACGACCCTAGTAGGACACACCTGCGACCACGGCCAGACGCAGGTGGGTTTTGGCGGGTTTGCACCAATTTGACCACGGGCTGTCTGGTTTGAGACGGGCAGTAGCAAACCATTGAACACCCGGAGGTGCCCTCACACCGTCAGAGACAATGCGTGGCGCTCGTACACTACGCCAATCGAGCTGTGACCTTATAACCCGTGGACCTGTTGTCTTCCATGACTAGGTTTTACGGGAAGAAGGCCATCGACCACTTCCTAACCTCCGAAGAGGATGGACTAGGATACTCGCAGGGCGCCCACACCTGACAAGAGAACGACTCGGGTCCTCAGCTAATGCCCTCGATGAAATGAACACCCGAAAGGCAGTGGGTCTAGCACATAGTCAGTTCACTGACTCATGCGGATTGGTGTCCTGCATCTTAACAGGGAGTAGGGGGTAACCCAATTTCCACCCAGCGGTTGCCACGAGGAGGCGCCCAGGACATGAGCCAATGGTACTACAGTAGCAGCAGTGGGTAGACCATCTGTCAGGATCTAGCCACCACCAGCCTCAGCGGAACATAGGCTGTCCCAAATATATATATATATATATATATATATATATATATATATATATATATATATATATATATATTTGCCAGTCACTGTGGCCTCCATTGGTCAGCCACAGGACGCCTGTGCCTACCAAGAAACCATGGGTGACTTGCGCCGCACCACCCACAGCTCCATTTACACACCTCATATCCGGTGTAAACCCCAATTAATATGATCGGGAGGCATGTGCATGGGAGCCACGTTTCACCAACGGAGCCGGCCCACACTCCTTCAACATGCGCAACAGCAGCATTCCTGTATATCTATGTAAAGAATCATGCGTGCCAGATGTACACAGGTTGGCGGCTGGGTTCTAGTCCACTCCACACTGGATGGAACCACACTTTGACGCTACCACGGCCAGGAGGACCGTGCACCCCGTTTCCCCCACCCCCAGCAACGATTGACGGCGTGCTGGAGCCAGCAATCGGGGTGGGGGAAAGCAAACACGCAAAATTGACACAGGCGATGCAGCAGAAGGACAGGACTGAACAAATCAAAGTGGGATAACTTTTATCCAGGTTAAAAAGATCTGGTTTAAGTGTAAGTCGATTTATCCCAACTGAGGTGAAGAAACATCATGTATGCAACCTCAACCTGAGGATGAGGCACTACACCTACATACCTTCATGGATCCACCTATACGACAATCCAATTATATCTTTGTACATTGCTCGATCACTCGTTTTACTGTGGTCATGCCTGTGCAGGCGCGCCTCATGTAGTCCAGCATAAACGAATTATTTTTTTACCTTATGTTGACCGGTCATTTTGCATGCACCACCACATCAGTTACCTACCATTTCTGATTTTAAAGTTTTGTCATCAACACTTGATCTAATATCCGGACAGAATTATAGTTTCCTCATAATCTAGAATTGGTGATTCCCAAAATAAATGCATTGCGGCATTACTCACCATGTTTAGTCGTTTTTTCTTCCTTCTTTACCATCATTTACTCTTGTATCACACCAAAGGGCTCCTTTTGGCACAGCAGGCAGTCGTACAGGTAAACAGAACTCCACGTTGTGGTTTTGTGGCCTTCATGTGCAGCTGGGTGCAAACACACTGATGTTGCTCGAGATCCTATTGGTTAGCCTTTTCGTGAGGTCCCAAATGAACCACGCAGAAATTCAGCGGTATCATGAACGGCTGTGGCCAAGACTAGTGGGTTTTGAAATTTAAGTGGGCCAATTCCTTGGTAACCCTTAGAATCAGCCGGTGAACACTGTCCCAGTCAGTGCCCACCCCCATATTTGCCGATAAACCAAGGATATAATAATACTCGTTTGGGTCAGACTAACGATTCCGTACGGGTCAATCTGGTATGAACGAAACGGAAGTTACCACAAATATGAAAAAGAGTGATTGGCCCTGGGGGAAAACATCGATTTGCAAACTTTAACTGGTAACCAAGGGCCCAAAACAACGAGGGGCAAAGTAATATGTTAAAACGAAGCTATCTGACACAAGTTCTTTCCTGTCACAGCGTGCTGCTTTATGAATGTCAAATTCTGCTTGTTGATTCTTGCGGTTGAGCACCACACGCGGTGACAGTGCCCGAGAACTATCGATTGCATGGCATCAGTTTCCTTCCGACTCACAACATAACGCGTCATTGTTGATTGCACAAGGACGCATTTTGCCGTGCTATTTGTATCCATATAACGTGCCGTAGGGGTTCGAATTCACTTTCTCAAGGAAACGCTCACTAAACCATCTGGGCATTCCCGTCCACAAAAAGCCTGGGTACAAAAGGCCTGAAGTACTAGATAACTTGGTTTCTGCCACTTTCCAGTTACATAGAAAGTAGACAGCACACTAAATTTCTGTCTAACTGGCACAATTTTCAGCTTCTGTGGATACGTGCTAGCAAAACTGATGCTGACACCCGTATGTATGAGCTCGATACTGTCAGTCAAATGTCAAATCCGTTAAACTAGTCGGTCAGTCAAAATTGCTTTCTTTGTGGCTGAATGCGATACTGAAGTAGCTGTGGTTGCATCATACGCCCCATCGGCAGATCAATTCAAGCTAGCTAAAGAAAACATACCATTTGCCATGGCATTACATTAGTCGGTGTGCAGTTGTTAAAAAATGTATATTTTAGCTTCTCGAGATGATGTTTCACCATGAAGTGTGCATTAGTTCGGCCTAGCCGCATGCGAAATCTTCGGTTCGTGTTTTTTTACTTGTCGGTGGCCAATCTACTCCTGGGAAGTTAACTTACTAAGCTGTCGAAGCATGGCTTCACACTCATCACGTTGCACCAATTGCCGAATTACTCTCTGCTTACAGAAGGGCTGGCATATGTTCTGTCTTTTTCGCAGCTTTTTATTTGCCGAGCCCATTGTCGATTTTCGCTTTTATGGGCTCTTGAAACACGTCACTATGGGGCTTATTTGTTTATGCGCATCGTTTATTGGTTTTATATGACCGTTTTCTGTCACGTGCTCTGGGATTCTAAGGCATTTATCGGATGTGGGAAAACGATGTATCAAGTGATCCACACTTTGCATTTGACCGTTTGATTAACGCACCACCTTTTGGAATGCGCATGTTACGATCTTTCGGTACATCGCTTTTTGCATATTCCCCGCGTTTAATCCCACCTTTTTCGTTTCAGGCCCGTAACCGACTCGAGTCAGACCTGCTAGATGCCATGATGTGCATAGAGGATTTGAAACAAGCGCTAGAATTGCGCATGGCTCGGGTACGTTCCACCCGCTAAATGTCGTGATCTGTTTGCGTTTGTTTCTGAATCGAGTGTCACGTTTACTCTACGGAGCACAGGTTTCTTCCAAAACTTTGTGTTATGTGCCCCAGCACTCAGTCTAATAAGCCTCTGTTTATGGCACACCTATTCATATGTTAACTATGGTAAAATCGAAATAAAAACGGGTGAGTTTCACGCCCATTCCGTCTGTGTCTATTTTACTGGGTTCTTAAAACTCGTACCGTCTTTTGTGGGATTCACCATGATTTTTCTATCCATAATCCGACGAGTGCCCAATCAATTGTTTTCATCTCTCCATTAAGGAACATCCTACCTGATAAATTCAATAATTATGCATAGACTCGTTGGCTCCACTTAGTTTTATGGCACCGAGTCGAAAGAAAGTTGAGAGAGGGAAATGCGCACTACTCAAGTCTACTAGTGAAATCTGAAACGTATGGATGTGCAGCTCACACTTGCAATGAACGATGCCCTTTATTTACCCATCCCACTTCATCAATCGATATGGTAGGAGCTGGTCTGGTGAACGTGAGAAAATTATTTTCAGAGAAATTTCACACAAATGGGCACTGGGGCCTTCACGAGCAACAGAGAAACAGCGCTGTTTACCATAGTTACTACTCTATATCTACAGTGCACATCTGGTACTCCACTGTGACATTTTGAGCGGAAATTACACTCGGTTATTCTTGCTGTGTAACTGACTGTGAGTGTTGTACTCGTTCTCTACTTCCTCACGGTCACCACCGCGTATGCAAAGTTCTGTTAGCCGATGGTGATCGGAATGTTGAAGTGGAGTCAACTAACTTAGTAAACACAAGCATTTAAACGTAGTGTCAAAAGTTGAGAAAGTTCTGGTCTTTTGGTAAATGTGTTAAGTGATAGAGAGAACTGTTGAATTTACGACGGCCCCGATTCCGGGGACGCATCCAGCCAGAAGATAGAGGCCGGGCTGAGTCGATCTTTTAAGTGTTTTTCTTGCCTTTTCTTCATGTCCTCACCATATCGTCCCACTGGGAATTCACCTGAACCGCTACAACTAGCTTACGGCACAACCGCTGAGGTGCTTATCACCCCTGACTCTCGGCTTGTGACTGAAAAGATTACATGCTTGCATTGTAAACCGGAGGCCACCGGTTCGGATCCGCGACCTTGCGGTTTATCCAGCCCACGCGCGAGTCATGGTAGTCACGTGTCAGCGAACCGTCGGTACGGTGTACAAGTCTACTGCTGATCCCCTCTCGCCCCTACAGATGTGTATACACGTTGCAGATCACATTGACAGGTGTGCGAGAAGTATAGTTTAGCCCTGCACATGATCCCAATTTTGATTGGCAGACTGATGTTTCCTGATAGGATTCTGATCTCAGGCATCCACTGGTGGTGGCACTACAGTGAGATATGACAATTACCCCTCGCTTACTGGTAACCGGAGTCGCATATTTTATTAACTTTATCAACCATATTTCTGATTCGTTAAGTGGTAGTTGTCGTACTGCGTCCTTACTATGCACATTGTTTTTGTTCGATGAACAGAAATCTAGCTCTAATCAAGGGGACTGAAACATTGAAACCTCTTAATAGAAAAAACCGACATACATGTTTAGAGTACCTGGATACTTAAACTGATCGCTAACTTCATATCACTTGTATATCAATATTGTTCTGGTTAAGCAAATTGCACTCCGATAGCCTGAAGGGCATGACGAATCGCTGAATTGTCTTTCTCAGCATATTCGTTTTTGCTGTGTCTATTATCAAGTCAAAGACAATTTTATCGCCATTATGCTATAAATCTGTCGTTCGGTCATTTTTCACAACGCTTTTTCTCCATACACTTGATGTAGGCTAAAGTCATTCTTGCTTATTTTCACTACGGAATTGATAAGCTAAGGGTAAATGAGATATCGTTCAAACACACTTCCCAAAACCACCAAGTTCACACTTCATATCCACTGGTTTCGTAGAGCAGAAACCATGTTTCATTCGACCTTAGGGTGTCTATGGGAGATCCCACTCCTTGGTAACACGGCGTTTGGCCCCATCTAATAATTACCAACCTGAAGGAACTCTGCTAACGAATGGCTTGCCTCTGCACCCTATTTGTCTTTTGTGCTTTAACTAGTCAACCAATTCAACTTGCCTGTTGGACTTGCGGCAACTCCTGAAGCGGATTGGTATATCACGGTGCATCACCTTCGCACTTGTCAGATTTCGATGTCACAAGCTGTACCTCTCTTGGAAAGAAGGCATCCACACAAAATCTTGTCGTTTTCCAGCATAAAATGTTTGACAGAACTAGGAGCTGTTCCCGGGGACCAATCATCAGCGTTAGGAATCCACAGTTTACAAAATTGACTAAAAGCTTACGGGATATCACTGACTTTGCTTGCGCATAGTTTAATTGGCGATATCTACCACTCCATGTGGATTCCTAAAGGCACCAGACTATTTGATTTGGTTCCACACACAAAATGTAACCAGTGAATGTATCCGGATCCAAACCTCTGGAAAATCAGAACTACCGTACGGTTCGACGGCGGTTCCCAGTCTACTACAATGCAAGACGGTTGATTATCACAAGGACTGCAACTGTTCTGTTTGCACATGTCTCATGAGTTGCCGATCTCGTTTTGAGTAGCCAGGCCAGCATATTGCAGTTACACTGATGCAATACTTCAAATTTCAGCATAATTGCAATCCACTCTAAAATATCTCTGACCCCAGGGCGGCCTCCCGAAACATCCTAGAATGGGGCGATCCTGGATTTGTGCTGACAATGTTCTCTAATCTGCTGACGAAATCCTCGCAACTTGGTAAACAACCCGACGTCTTAGAGATGTGTTGCGTGACTGTGTGTCTGTTGCCTTTCTGTTTCGTCTTTACCATACACCTTTTTCGTTCACAGCTGTCACCGTGTCGTTCTTTGTCTGTTGTCGTCCCCAAATGAACACGTGGCGTGCGTTCTCAACGCAGGAATGGAGCGGATGTTGCCAGACTATGCTATCGCAGTATCTTCGTTACGAAAACCCACACGGTCGAAAACATCGGGGGTTATTTCTCGATGCGTACTCACTAACGCAGCCTCTACGATATAGCTTCTGCGAGTGCGATTACCCTCATTTGTCCTTTCTATGTGGCATCGAGTTGATTAGATCAATGGTATATTCCATAGTTTAGCTGTATTTTCCGATCAATGTGTATGTGCACAGTTGAGCTGCGCTCTGTCCTCTGTTTAGACGATCATTTTCTCTGGCAACGCACAGTCGCAAAATGTGGTTCACCCAACCAACACAATGGTCACTGTAACACGGCAAGTGAATTAATCAGCTAGCCATGTGCAACATGTCATGTTCGGTACGTGTGAATCTCATTTTCCGAATAGCTGTCGATTTCAAGTCACAGACAAACGAATCAACTTGGTGTTTTCCATGGAGAAGGCGCTCCCTCCGTCTCAGCTATGTTCGCTTGATTAGCATGTTGTTTGGGTCCGATACCCCGACTATCGTGTGCGGACAGATTGCTTCTTCAGTTAGGTTCTTCTTCCTTCGTCTTTCCATCGGGGGCGGATCTTCTTGTCGCAGTGACTGCTGACTCACTGCAAAGTTTACCAGCACTCAACCGGTAGAAAGCTGAAGTGTTCAAGATATCGGTAACTTTCAACCTTGTTTCTTTGATGATTGACAACTTACTTTTAAGTCAGCTGAACCAAAATTCAGTCACATGTTTACCCTTCTCTCCCCACGCCACCATAAAGCTGTGTCACGAGGTTTACGTACATCTCCGTATTACCTTATGAGATTCTATTTCAGAAATTCGTCGTCTTACATCGCAATATGGATGTTTACAATCGATCTCATATTCGATGCATATCATGATAGTAAGCACCATATTACTTTTTTAATTTTTTTATACCGTATTCTACGGTGCTTAGTAACTTGCTTTTTCATACATTCTATCATTTTATATTGTGGCACGATATTTGACGTGCTGCTCATCTTTAGCTAATGTGTAACCATGAAGGTGTTTACAATAACCACTGCGGGTCGCTTAATAACTTAAACGGTCACTTTCTTGGATTAACGCATACGTCCCACACTCCTGCATAATTGAGGAAAGATATCAATCCGAAGGATATTAATAACAGTTGGTATATTCTCAGCAAAGTGAGACGCCGCCGATCATAAGGTACAGGGGAAATTTAAAATGACATCACAAAACTGTTGTGCAAGGTGAAATTCAATTCCTTTTCTATTTATTCTTTCACCCTGAATTTTGTTTTAACCAGTCTGCGGCGTAGAGGACAAACGGGAATCGTTCAGGTTCTTTTACACGTAAAGAAATAACAAAGATTAGCGGAATGAAGAGGAAACCTGCACATGCAAAAGTATGAGTGGTGACATTGATAATTTTAATAAGTGGCATTAATTTCAACAGCAGACTAAGTAACACCTCAGCGATTAGCTAGCCTGCTTTCATTGTGACAATACATTGCCTGTCAGGATCTCTTCTGACTCTGGAATGCCGAAATCTTAGAGAGGCCAGCCAAGTCAGTCGCGTACAACAGAAATATTGCGAGCTCATGCAGCCTAATGCTGCCCGTCATAATGAGCGGTTTCAATAAACCCTGTTCGTGTGTGGTAATGACGAGTAACGGAGGCCGCCGACTGTTTCGTTATACCTCAGAAACTTCTTTGAACAGCAAACCAGTAGAATAGCGAATACTTGATTGCTTGCCACTTTCGGAAAACCCTATAACAAGATCAGAAGTCAGGGTAAGCGAACATACGTTTTCGGTAATTCCACTTCATATCTTCGCAATTATATGCAAATAAAAACCAAATGGGTAAACAGACATTACCAATCGTTACGCCTGAGGCGAGTTAAATACTGACAGTGGATTCGACAGTGTCTATCCGTTAGGTTACGACAATTGACCTCGCGGGCCAGTCGTCAGGCGTTTTGGCCAAGGTAGT